AGGACCTGACAGCCCATATCAAATGGCCTGGTACCCCATACTCCCGGAGAACCCCCCACAAGGCCCCCCTTGGGACACGGTCGAACGCCTTCTCCAAGTCCACAAAACACCTGTAGACCGGTTGGGCGAACTCCCATGCACCCTCCAGGACCCTGCTGAGGGTGTAGAGCTGGTCCAGTGTTCCAGGACCAGGACCAAAACCACACTGCTCTTCCTGAATCCTCAGGAAACATCTAATAATTATTTCCTGAAACTTTAATTAAAATCCACCACGTGTTTCACCACATATTCTGTTAACAGATAACTGACTCCAAATAATTAACAGCAAAGTTTTAAGTGTGTGTTTTCTATCAGTGCTCAGAATATGTGTTGAGTCCCAGTCTCAGCTACTACCACGCTAAATTTTAGATAAATATCTGTAACTTTAGCTGAGTTTGAGGTGTTTTTGTTGTTTTGAAGGTCAGTTGACCGTAGCAGCCGTCTTCCACCAGGTCTGCTGCAGAAGTTAATCAGTTTTAAAATCACATCCTGTGATTATTTCCTGTGAGTTTCATCAAAAATCCATTTATGAGATATTTTGCTGACAGACACACAAAGGCAAAAACACAACCTCCCGTGTGATAAGTCTGGGTACCTGCTGCTGATGATGAACCTGTTTTAATTTGAAAATAAAGGGAATTACAAGAATAAAAGTATTTAAAACCGTGTTGATGCTGTCAGGTCAGCGTTTCAAACTGATAATCTGAGCAGAATAAAGTTACAGAGCAACACCTGGTCAGCGGCTCCCTAAGACTTTAATCCTGCGCGCGCCTCTCACTTCAAAGTACCGAGCTTTACGGCTATAATTAGAAGCAAAGGTGAGAACAGAACCAGAACATGTTTCCATACCTACTGACCCAGAGTCGGTCCCGAGCTGAGGTCCGGTGCAGTCAGCGCGGTGTGGCGGCGGCAGCCAGCGGAGGAGAGCTGCTCAGAACCCCGCCGCGGCTTCAAAGCACCCGCCGGGGGGCGGAGACCCGCTCCAAACTGGTACCCAAACCCCGTTAAACACCTTTACCAGGTGGAGGTACCGCGAGGAAGTTCAGCACTCGTGGAAGAAAGAACAAAACAAAACATCCTCCTCCTCCTCCTCTCCTCCTCCTCCTCCTCTTCTCCTCCTCCTCCTCCTCTTCTCCTCTGTGAGGGAGGCTGGCTCCGCTCCGCAGCTCCGTCAGTGAGAGACGTGCGGGTTAAATCCTGACCATGCGGGACACGCTGCTGCTGCTGCTGCTGCTGCTGCTTCACCGGAACACCTGCAGGAGCCCCCCGCCCCCCGCACATATAAAATCACGTTATTTGTTATGTGTCGCGTGCCCTACACTGCCTGAGGAATAAGAAGCTGAGACACCAGCTCAGCCACCTTAAAGGGATAGTTCGGCTTTTTTTTCTAATGCAAACGGGTTTTTATGAACAGTAACTATCTTACCTGTTGTAGATAGATTTTTGAAAAGTGTCATTTGCTGTGTCCAAAACGACAGGCCGGGTCCTCCGGAGGACCCAGACTGCCCGGTCGCGGCGGGCCGGGTCCTTGGTAGACCGGGAAGACCGGGGAAAAAAGAGGCTGTGAATTTGGACGGTCTAGCCTCCCCTCCTCACCCCGGCGTACATCACATAGCAACTGTGACGACGCTAAACAAGCAAACTTAAATCAAAATTAGAAAAATATCAATACATTAGTATTATTAATATCACAAAACTATAAAATTAACTTAAAGGTATCATTTGAAGAACTGATTGACCCGCTGTAGGTGCATGTTTATTTCATGTTTTTTATGACAAAAATAATATGTAAAAACATGTCCATACAAATGATAAAAGTATTAGAATTACAACCGCTATTTTTTTAATTTCCATGTCACCATATTTTTATTTAAAACGTATTATTTTCTCTCGCTTCGTCCGCCATTACTAGCTTAAACAAATCTCCGGTCGGGCCGCAATGCATTATGGGATATGCTGGGCCGGGAAGGATCCATCAGACCTGTCCTTCAAATCGGGGAAAAGGAAGGACGTATTTGTCGGACGCATCGGAGGAGTCTTCAGTTTTGGACGTCCTTCGTCGCGGCGCTGTGACGTATGCGGCCGACGAATTCGACCTTCGGAGGACCCGGCCTGCCGTTTTGGACACAGCCATAATTTCATGCCAGCTACTCCCCCCACCCCTCATACACACCTTACACATTCACACTGAGACATAAATCAATAAAAATGCAGAAAGATCTTTTTAATGCATTGAAAAATGTTTTCATTCGCATAATATAAGACTTAAAATGCTGTGATTATATGCTCAGTCTGGTGCTGTAATGCACCGTAATGTAATGAAATGAAAAATAATAAAAAGTAATGGAAAATACACCTTAAACAGGAAACAAGACCAAAAAAACAGATGCTGATTGAGCTTTTTACAGTTACTAAAACCAGACGCTACATCCCAAATACATTCAAAGCCATTTATGGTGTTTGTCAACTCCAGTCTTTTTGTCATACCTGCTTTTTTTCTTGATTTTTATGTACAAACACATTTATAAATTAGTTTTATTGGTATTTTATGTTGTGATAGTTACATGTTCTTGATGTGTAATGATGTCCGAATGAAACACGATATGAACACTATCTAAACTGAGTGTATTTCAATGAATCAGACATAGGTTTTAATATATAGACCATAATGCAAACACTGACACTGAGCTTGCACATTAGTACTGTAAATGTAAAAAGGTGAATGCTGACGTGAAACCAGAAGTAGAAGTTTACAAAACATTTACGTTTTAGTCCAGTCTCACACACCTGCACAACATTCTGAAAACTCTTTCATATTTTGAGTTTCTAAGTATACAAGAAATTATTGTATTTGTCTGATTCACAGAACACAAAAGATGCAGCACAATTTTAACACTTACTAAAAAAACTTGTTTATCTCATCTCCACAACCAAAGATGGTCTGATTAGCTTAGTAAGCTAAAATAAATTAAAATCTGCTGCCAAAGTCTTCTTCCTCTTTATACCACCATCAAATCTGCATTGCAAAAATGATTTTTATGGTTATTTGCAAGCAGCAAACAGCAGCGACAGCAGCTAGCTGTAGCGTTTGTTAAACTAAATGTAATGTGAAATGTGTTGCAAGAGACAGCTTGTAAAACAGTGTTTGTATGAAAAGAGGACTTTTATCACACAGCCTTCATTTTGATCACTAAACCGTGTGCTAAACATGCTGTGTGTGACCTTGCTTTACAGCACCGCTTCATTGTTCAAATGTGAGAAATTCATCACTCAGTCTTGTGTTTGCTGTTAGGCTCTAATAATATTTGATCCACTCCTCATCCTCTGTGTTCAGTCCGGCTCATAAAAGGAATCAAAATCTAATTTATTTTCTTTAGATGTCAGAGAAGACAAGGCTGAATTCTTTTTTTTTTTTTTGATGGCCTCCCTTCTCCCCTATAGCCAACCTTTCCACACCATTATTATGTGTTTTTTTAAATAATAATAGGAGAAAAAGAAGAAAAAAGAAAAAAATGAAATGCAATGAATAAGAGCCAGCGACCACACACAGCAACCCCTGGGGCCAGCAGTGGCGAACTCACAGGCCCCGCCGGTACCCACCGCACCAGAGCGGATCCAGGCACCGACACAGAGGCCCGGGCCCCCAGGCCGCACCCCGCCCCCAGGCCAAGGCCAGATAGGACCAGGGGGAACCCAGCCCCACTGGGCAGCCACCGGGCCGAGCCGGCACATGCCCAAGCACCCAGCCCCGGACAACGAGAGCCACCAGCGCGCCAGTGGGCAAAGGCACAATCCACCAGAGGACAGCACGGCAGGGGAGTAGAGGGCCCTCAAATGAACCCGAAGAACGGGCCGCCCAATTCCCACCCTGACATAAATACAAGCATACATAAACACACTCATACAG